AGGTGAAATATGTAATGTTATATTTATGAAATTGGTGACATATGTTATAAAAAGGTTGTGAATGTAAAATTATGTTTGCCACCAATTGTTTGCATATCTTGTGTATACTTGAAATATGTTACCTTTTTTTGTTATGGCAATGTATGCCTCATGTTACAAAGTTCTTGGCTGAATGTTAATGCATTATAGTAGTATACAACTACATTTTTGTGGATATGTTAGGTGAAATATGTGATGCTGTATTTATGAAACTGATGACATATGTTATAGAAAGGTTATGCTGTAAATGTAAAATTATATTTGTCACTCATTGTTTGCATATCTTGTTTACACTTGAATTATGTTACATTTATTTGTTAGGACAACATATGCCACATGTTAGAAAGTTCTTGGTTGAATGTTAATACATTATAGTAATGTATAACTAAATTTTCTGTGGATATGTTAGGTGAAATATGTGATACTGTATTTATAAAACTGGTGACATATGTTATAGAAAGGTTGTGTTGTGAATGTAAAATTATGTTTGCCACCAATTGTTTACATATCTAGTGTACACTTGAAATATATTACATGTATTATATACGCCAACATATGGCACATGTTAGGAAATGGATGCATGAATGGTATTGCATTATAGTAGTGTAGAAGTAAATTTTATGTGGATATGTTAGGTAATATATGTGATGTTGTATTTATGAAAGTATTGAAATATATTATAGAATAGTTGTACTGTGAATGTAAAAGTATATTTGTCACCAATTGTTTGCATATCTACTATACAGTTGAAACATGTTCGATATATTTGTGATGGAAACATATGGTACATGTTAGAAAGTTCTTGCATGAATGGTAATGCATGGTAATAGGGTAGAAGTAAAATTTATGTGGATATGTTAGGTGAAAGATATAATGTTGAATTTATGAAAGTGTTAACATATGTGATATAAATGTTGTGTTGTTAAGATATACGTACTTTTTTGTCATGTTTTTGTAGATTTGCTATTATAGTTATGGCTATTGAAAAAGTAATTATTAATATTGAAGAGATAGATAGCGATTCAGTCTGTGAAATTCCTGAAATAGAATGGATACCCTACGTTGACATGCAGTTTGATTCTGAAGAAGCTGTTTATGATTTTTACAATGAATATGGTGGCAGAGCGGGTTTTATTATTCAGAGAGAGTAGAAAAATAATAGTCGAAAGGATGGAAAAGTAACATCTAGAAATTTTGTGTGTAGCAAGGAAGGAAAAAGAAATACGTCCGGCCCGAAAATGAAAAAACGCCGAAATGACAACAATTACATTTCAAAGAGTCCTGAACTCAATGAAAATCCCCAATAAACTCTCGGATACACTCGATACACCCCACGATATTCAGTACGCAAAACGAGAAAAGACGAAAATACCCTCGACAAAACAAAAAATTCGAAAAAATGGAAAATGGTGAAAAATGAAAACATTACAAAAGCAGTGTTAAAAGCATATATGACAGAGACAAAAAAAAAAAAAAAAAAAAAAAGAAGAAAAGAAATGTGGTCCTCAATAGTGGTAATACTATAATGAATAACTTGTGTATTAGAGGACATCATTTGAACCTCAAGTTTGGTGGGATCATACAGGATTAATATCCTACCAAGACTTGAGGAGGAGTAATCATGTAGAAGTTGCCAAGAAGGGGCAATAAATCTATGGATATCATTAACATTAGGTTCTTAGACCTTAGTTTTTAAAATAGCCACAAATTAAAGGTTAGAATTAGCAACAAGTTACTTTATTTCCTTTTTTTTCCAGGGGAATTGAGACCCCTCATATTCCATGCTAATATAATCATTAAGATAGGGATTGAAGAATTACTCCTGGAAAACCTGAAACATGTACAATAGGGTAATCACCTCACTTCTTCTTTTTCTTCTTCTTAGTTTTCTGCTTTGTGACCTTAGGGTCCTCATTGCCCTTGCATTGGTTAGAACTAGAAGATCAAGTGGAGCTAGAACAACTAGGAAGAGCAAACTGTTTCCTCTCCTCCAATTGGCCAGCCTTAGGCACCTCTGGATCTACCCTTCCATCAGTCCTTAGCTTAATAGCAGAAATGTCCTCATTTTGTTTTGGAACTTCTGGACTGGTCCTCTCCTTAATGCTCACTTCTTGCTCAATTACAAGCTCGGACACAGTTTGTATGGTCTCCCAATTATTGACATCAACAGTTCCATTAACAACAACACCAGTAATGTGGTCCTCATAGCAAACATTCATCACAACAACTAGCTTAGTGTTCCTTTGAACTACTTTCCATTCATTTCCTTGGTTAGCATTCTCTTTAGTTATCATGCTTAAGGTTTTTTTGGTAGTGTAACGATCTGAACCCGTGGGTCCGAACCATTAACCGGGTCTTTACCCAGACCCGAGTTCAACTAAGGGTAATATCGTTCTTTATTAAGTTCATAGGTGCTACTCAGATCATTCTAAGGTCTAAGGTATTCCAAAATATAACTCGGAAGGAGAAGTCAAAGGTACTGGTCAAAGGGCAATGTCAGCCGGTTGGTGGCCATGCATCGACTGGCTGAAAAAGCAGGTTCGGAACGCTGACTGAGATGATCAGCCGGCCGAAACAATGGTTCAAGCTACATGCTCTCAGTACTTTCCAAAGATGGATTGTCAGCCGACTGGAAAATAGGATTTGGTCGGCCGAATGAGGGGTTTCAGTCGGCTGAAGGAGTGGTTCGGCTAACCGGAATAATGGTATTTAGTTCCTAACTCTCTATTTTTACCTCGCAATGTTCTGTCAATCGGCTGACATACCTTGTCAATAGGCCGACAGGCTCTAAAATCTGCATAATTTGAAGATATAGGCTCTGTAATTCTGCAATCCTCTGGGCTCATTGTGAGCCAAACCCAATGCACAACCTGTCGCAACCTTACAACAATAATGATACACATCTCGAGTCATCATCATTAATGAAACTAATCAAATAACCCAGGGTCATCTCACCCATCCCAATATACTAACATAATTATTACATGCTTTCATGGCCATACATAAAGTACATCAAATTGCTGTCTAAAAATACGGATACATTGTTAAATTATAATAATAAAACGATTACATAGAATTGTTTAAACTTTACAAATTATACATCATAATACAATATGGTACAAGGAAAATCTTTTCCAACCCCGTCCATATTCGTGGAAGATCAATACCCACCAGCTCAACCCCGTGACCTGAAAAATTGTAAAGGAGTGAGCATAACGGCTCAGTAGAGATTGCCTAAGTGGTACCTCCTCAAACAAAGTAAGTAATCCAATGCTTTACACATAATGAATAGGTAAAAGGGGTGGGGTCATGCGAGGGATTTCACGTACGGAACTTAAATTTTCAAGTAATCCTCATCACCATCACATACAAGGCAATACACAAAATGTCAATGCAACCGCACGTCACACTATGCCCTCGCTTGTTCACATATCCCATCCATACCATTATGCATCCACACTTCACTTCCCCACTATCTACACATCTCATCTACACCCTCACCTCTTTTATGCCCGTCAATACCCTCATGCTATGCATATGAAACATTTTAATTTCAATCATTCAATTATCAACATGCCTTCATTATGCAATAAAAAATTTCATGGCCACAACAAGATAATTAAACAACTTTAGCATGCTTCAACATACACCAAAACAACCATACTAGGAGTAACACATAAAATCCACCACATAGTCACTTTTTAACATGTCATTAGGGATTCATATACAAAATAAACATTTAATTCCATCAAATCCATCAATTAGACAAAACTTAAATATAAACCAAAACCCTAGAATTTTGCATTATTCAATTAATATCAAATTGAATTGCCAAAAGAGGGGAAAAACATCAAATTAGCTACTAAATCCAAAAAAATCGACAATTAGACATACCCTACCTCAAATTGATGTAGAAAACTCCAAAATTCCCAAATCCAAGCCCTAACTCTCGAAATTCCAAGGTGCACTAAAAACACTTTTGCTCCGATCAAATCGTAGATCTCAACGAGCTCTCCAATTTGTCGCAAACGATACCAAAAATCTCTCAAAGATGAGAGAGAAATTAAGGTTTGAAACTTTTGTAGAAAAAGAAAAGAAAAAGAAAATGAGGGGGAGAGAGATTTCGTAAAGAGAGAGAGGAATGAAGAAAATGAGGCCAAAATGACCTTTTGGCCATTAAAAACACAAATAAGTGGTGGTGGGTCCCACCACTTAAAAAAAATCCCATTTTCTTATATATATATATATATATCTTAATTCTCAACCACACAAAATTCTTAAATCACAATAACTTAAGTATACGGGTCCGTTTGGCATGCGCTTTGTTTTTGGCGTTTTGTTTTTGGCTAAAACAAAAACAGTGTTTTTGTTGTAGTAGTGTTTTTAAAAAAATTCGGAAGCTCGTTTGGTAACGATGTTTTGTTGTGGAAATATCAGAAACAAAAACATGCAAAACATGTTTGGTAAGTCATGCGTTTCAAAAATTTTAAAAACAAAACATGTTTGGTCAGTCCAACTGTTGCAAAAAAAATAAATAAAACAGAAACAAAAAAACATATTTGGTTATCATTGTTTTTAATTTGTTTTTATAAATTTTAAGTATATTTATAAATAGTTGTCATATTTTTAATAGATATGGAGAAATTTAAACCCACAAACATATATATATATATATATATATATATATATATATATATTAATTTTTGCAATAACTTATTTACAAATTGTTTGCAATAACCTACTTCAATTTTATTATCATTTTACCTGTATAGTTCAACACAACATTAAAAATAAAAATATCTCTGATCACATTTTACTATATTACATGAGAGTCAACATTTGTGAAAAAAAAAAAAAATTGCAATAACCTATTTACAAGTTCTTTGAAATAATCTGTTTCAATTTTATTATCCTGTTACTTGTATAGTCCAACAGAACATTAAAAATAAAAACAAACCCAATTGAAAGCATAATTGGAATAGAGTGTATACCATTTACAGGTGCTTAAATATTCAACCAACAAATTATACAAGTTTAAGTTCTACATTAAATGTTTGGAACAAAGCATTAACAATACATAGTTGTCACTAAAAATTAATAATAAGTTCATAAAGTGGATGACAATGGCAACGACACATCATCTTCATAACAGCACATGTGGCCTTCAAGAAAGCATCAACACACTTCATATCTGCAATAATAACATTTAAGTTGAAATATATTAACAATAATATCAACCAGTAATAGTAACAGAAAAAATAATTTATATTACATATATATATTACAAGCTCACAATAGCAACAAATATATTACATATAAAAGAAAAAACATACCATCACTTCCAGAAGGATCAAGAGTGCTGAAGAGAATTCCAAATTCGATCAGCAATAGTATTATGCAACTGATCCATTTCTCGAAGCTGGGACGAAGGCACATGGTCAACAATCTCATCATCTTCACCGTCAGTTTGAGGAGGATCGTTACCCATCAAATAAATCATCAGGTTGATGCTGATTTCTGATGAAGTTATGCAAAGTGCAACAAGCCATTACAATCAATACTTGTGTTGAAAACTTATAAGGAGGCATTGCCCTCAAAATAGCAAATCTCATCTTCAACAACCCAAAGCATCGCTCAATTATATTTCTCAAGGATGAATGCCTATGATTGAACACTTCCTCCCGACCACTTCAGCCACCCCTTCTTCTTCAATTGTGCGATAATCACCACATTATTCCACATTCTCAACATTCATATCCATCTAACAAATTAATAACAACACTATAATTAATAACAACAAAAATAATATATATTACTTCAATAACTCATGCTATTAGTCAATAACTCATGCTATTACTTCAATAACTCAAAGCCCTCTAAGTTTTTCCATTATTCAATCGATGATAATATTACTACCATCCTGTTGTACTTTAGTCACCACGATTGTTTTTTTTCCTATTTTTAAAAGAGTTCATTGCATACTTGATTTGTGATTTCCATGTGTATATGGCAATCTTTTCTAAAGAAAACTGCTGTTGTTTTTAAAAGGTGTTTTTTCTGCATAAGATTTGTGTCAGGAAGTGTTTAGAATGTCTCAGTAAAATAATAAATTTATTTTTCAATTATAAATATGTTCATGGGGTGTAAGTCATGTGTCTAGGAGTGTCCGATGCACGTCTGACACAGGCACAAAAATTCTGGAACTGAATTTTCTGATCCTTATAACACTTGTATCCATCAATGATATCCGTTTTGAACACTGGTTGAATGGACACTTGTGTCCAACTGCATCTACATCTACTTCAGACATTTAAAAAAAGGGTACACTTGTGTCCAATTGTTTGCCCTATTTGTATATATTTTTGCTTAAGAAGATTCAAGGGAACAAAAAAGATAAACATAAAAGGTCCTTTTAGATTATTAAGGTGTTTGGTTCCTTTTTCGTTCTTTTCAGTTTTTCCATATTCATGCATGCCAACAGAGAACTACATATGTCTAATAAATACAAACTTATACATATAATTCGCAATCACCGTAATTGGGAATGGAAACATGGGATTCATGTAGCCAACCCCAAGTAATTGGGAAAAGGCTTGGTGGTGGTTGTTGTTGTAACACGCAATCACTGTAAAAGGAACTCAGACCCACAAATGGACGTGTGTAGACTTTTGGTTGGGAATGCAGTGAATGGAGATGAAAGAACCTATAAAATACGAGAGTTGATAGGAGATTTCATAGTTGTCAGGAAACTTGCAAGTTGTCACTGATCCTGCAATTTATGTGAACTTGTATGCAAAAAGGTTCATTTGGAACCTGTGACTGGATTAGCAAAGAGGCTATATTCTACCTGGATTGCTAAACTTACTAATTTATCCTGTAATGATATGCATTGCTCCTAACAATTATCTGAAATAAATATTTTTCCGAAAGCAAATTTGATGTTTCAAGGACAACTAATGTGACATTAGTACTTCATGATTTGCTTTGAAGTATGGGACTGGATATGTTCTCATTTATAGTCGTATCAAATTTTTGGTGACATCATGTAATGCTGTTTGTACTAAAGTTGCAAATTCTGGTTGAACAATAGCAAAGGTGATGGCTTGTCTCATGGGGTCAGATGGGAGGAAATTCCTAAGAAAAGCCTTGAAAGGGCTCTGGGGTTTTAAAATTTTGGAAGAATGGACATGTCTTTGTTTGCAAAGAAATTTTGGATGCTTAAAAAACTCCAACCTTCTCTCTGGGCTCACGTTTTGAAAGGTTCTTTCTAAAAACTAGTTTTTGGAAGTTGGAAGCCATCTTGAAGCATCCAATTGGATGACCATCCGGATCACTATTATTTCCTCTATACGAATTAGTTGAATAACATCAACCAGTCCAAATTGTTTAAGACCTAATCTCCCAATATTTTATTATGTTGAAACTCAAGATGGAAAACTGGTGAACTTTATATATTAGAGTTCAACCTTCAGTTTGTAAGCCATTCTATAAGATATAATTAGCTTATGGAGGTCTGGGCACTTATTCAGAGGAAGGCAAGAGGAGTTAAAATCCATAAATTGCTCTTAACATTGACCTTTCAATCATACCAAGTAATGAATTAGTTGATGAAGTTGGCTGGTTGTGCTAACTTATAAGCCCATATATGCTGCAGTTTGTCAGGAATATTAATTTTCCCCGAATAAGATTACTTTTTTCTGTCCATGGAGTTAATATTTTAATTGAGGATATGGATGGAAAAAAACCTGCTGATGATTGAATTCTCTATGGAAGATGAAAATAAAACAAAAATTACCTAAACAAAGAGTGACTATTGTGTTCTGGAGCTAGCATCTGGTTATATAGGAAACTCTTTTCCACCCCGTGCCCCAAAAAAAAAAAAAATTAGTTAAACTCCATTGTTGATCTGAGAAAAGAATTTCAACAATGTTAATATAACAATACGTTCGAAGAGACATTACCTAAATTACCTAAATCAATGAATTACCTAAATTACGACCCCGTGCCCAAAAATTACCTAAATCAATGAATGCTCAAAAAATTCTAAAAATCAAATTGAACAATACGTTCGAATAGACATTACCGAGTTTTCTTTAGGTCTTGTTTCTGTAAAATCTAATCAGAAATTTGCAGGTCTAAAAATTCTACTGCGTTTGATTTTTTTTCTTCTATCGTTTTCCAATCTATGTTCATGTATGTTAATTAGATATTAAAAAAAAAAATCATGAAATACAAACAAATCACCAAACCTTGCGACCCATCAATTGCAAGAAAAAAAAAACAAATAAAAAAAAAACTCAAATTGTAGATTACCGCAAAACAAAAAAAAAAAGAAAAGAAAAACTGAAATATTCAAACAAAGTTCAAACCTGTTGAGATTGTCGAAGATAGCAGCAAAGGAAAGCATATCGTGGAAAGTATCGGCCGAAAATAGCAGTTGTTCAGTTGTCGCCAAGAATTGCCAAGATCACCAGACCACAACGCAGCAAACCAAACCCTAGGATTGTTGCAAGTTTTCCTTTTATACCTCCTTTTAATTGTTGCCTCCGCTACAGTTAAATGAAGGATTTGCTTCTTCCGCTGCAGTGCAAATACAACCGGAAGCAACAAAAAACACCAAAATGGTGTTTCATCTTTTGAGCCCAAATTTGATTCTGTTTTGCAACTGTTTCAAACGCAACAAGCCCAGCCAAACATTTTTTAGGCTTCAAAAGGGTTACTGTAGCAGGTCTAAAACAAAACAAAACACTTGCCAAACAAGCCCTACATAAATTATTATGCCTAGAATGCAATGAACCCATGATACCACCCCCGTGCGTAACAATTCAGGTAGCGGGTCCTACCTGGGACTTCCCGGCCTAAGAAACAGAAAAATGCCGAAATTGCAACCCCTTGCATTTCCAAGAATCCTGAACTCAACGAAATGCCCTAATCCAACTCTTAGACACAACCGGCACACCCCACGGAGTCCAGCATGTAAAACGAGAAAATACAAAAATACCATCGAAAAATCAAAAATTCCAAAAAATAGAAAATGAAAAAAATCAGAAATGTCACAATCTCCCCAACTTCAAAAGATTCCGTCCCCGAAATCAACCCACCTCACATTCAAATGACAAAAATGATACAAAAACAGAGTACGTTTTCGAGTACCCCACGCGACATGCTATACCTCCAAATCCCAATCTAAAAAATCTCACATCCTGTGTTGTTTGCAACCTATGCTAGTAACCTAGCATAACAATGACCGAACAGTGACCACAGTCACATGCGACCTTTCCCCTATGACAACTAACTGGACGTAAAAGCACGCGCCATGCTGAACCAAACTCTTTAGCGCCACACACTAAGCACACGAGGCACAAGTCCCCAACCTAACTCCGTGACTCGACCAAGTCCTAACCACAAAAAGCCATTAAAATCGTCATCCTTTGAACCAGAACATACCACCAGTCAATACTAAATCCACAAATGACGACTTCAGTCAACCCACACGACAACATGCATCATGAAAAGCATCCTTTAATCCAAGTCACTACAACACTCAACCATCTACTTCCGCACGTAAAAGACAAAGGGTGAAACATTCAACCCAGGTCAAAACCAATTCGATACATAAAATTGCACTAACGCTACCCACATGAGACATTCCACCAGAAAACTATTGGATCCCATACACGGTAAGTTCAACCAGCAGTATATCATATAATTAACGCTAAATACCCTTAAAATAGTGGTTACAGATCTGTTCAACGAACCAACATATGAGCTCAACTCGCTATCCTAAAGATACCCTTAAAACCATCTCTAAAGACTGCTGCCTTCAATAGCTACATCATAGTTGAACACCTATAACTGAAATCGAGAAAACCATCTGACCTGTTAAATGTACCATCAGGTAACCGGGAAAATAACCGATCGGCATGGCTTAAGGATCAACTGATCCAACAACTGAAATTCCTTGGATACGTAGTCCTGTACCAAGTACACCACCATCCACGACAAATCACCTGAAGATGTACAAAGAATACCACCAATCCCAAGCAAAACTCACTCTAAAATAGGATCCATAAGTACGCAACGCCCATTACTGCACTCTAACTGTCACTAAGCATACTAAAATCAATGATCATTGACCTTTGACCCGACATTATGTTAAGGAAAGACTGACTTAGAGAAAAAGTTGGCCAGGCCATTCCCATCGTCGATCTGACCTCGACACCAACGTCGTTCTTGTCCCCAAGTCTAATCCTTAAGCACACACACATCAATATCTAAGTCTACTCTAGTCACATAGTTCACAACACACGGTCTAACCATTTCTAACACATGTGTCACATCATAACTACTAGATATTACTGTTAGCTCTAAGACTCTAAGAAAACGTACACACCGGTAAACAAGTCACGCCTCACGTTGCATCGATCACGACCTCTCGGAACGAATCTTTCAAAACCTAAAACTTCACCTCCTGCCGTGGAGGTAAGTCGGACGATCTAAGTCAAACCCATGGTCCTTAACAAAAGATGGAACTCTATAAAGCCGTTCCGTCCACTGGCACGCACAACTCCTATGTGGAGATACGAAACTCATAGAACTGAACATGCACCTATCGATACCTTGCATACGAAATGCCAAAAAGGAGGAACTATACGAAGACGAAACAGCTCAATTCGTAACTCATACACGTAACATCCATATGTAATAGAGAACGGTGCCCCTTCCAGAAATGCTAGAGGTTAGACAAAGAGTCCTAGGATATCGCGTCCCATCTTGCCCAAAGAAGAACCTTACAAGCGAAAATCTAAACCTTCCATTAATAGAAACAACTACGTGACGCTAAACAAACTCACCCACAACCTGTAAAGTAACATGGCTAAAAACCCTTTTTGTCACCAATCTGTTAATGAAACCAACACATAAAAGCTCAACTACTCATAAAGTTTACATCATTCTCTATATAGTCATACAAATATGTCATTAAAGTACATAATTGTCACAATCGATACAACATTGCAGCATGGAATCCATGTAAAACATCTCAAATTATATCCTGCCCCAAAGGCTCACACACTAACCATCATCAGCATTATCCAAATCCGAAACCACACTACGAGACATGTCCACCATCCTGGCACAGATGAATGCGACACTGCACAAAGTGCACAAGCATCTGTATAAACTCATGAATAACCCCCGTTACCAAAACAACAGCGTGCAGACATCTCCTGTCACACCCAATCTCACAGGTATCCCCCATTACAGAACTCACAAGTATCTCCGGTTACACAGTCACAGGTAACCCCCATCACCACACGACATGACTCACAGTTATCCCCCGTTACAACCCAACATAACTCATAGGTAGCCCCCATTACAATACGACACGACGCACTGGAAACAACATGATAAGACGTACATATGACAATGCAACATGACTCCCAGATAACTATGCAACACGACTCACTGACAACCATGTAACATGACTCACAAATAACTATGCGACATGACTCACAGGTGTCCCTCGTTATCACACAACAAGACTCACAGGTATCCCTCGTTATGACCAACATAACTTACAAATATCCCTCGTTATAACACGACATGAATCACATGTATCTCCCGTTACAACATAACACAAGTCACAGGTAACCTCCCGTTACAAAACTCACAGGTAGCCCCCGTTACATCCAGTACAATAGTGCACAGACATCCACCCAATCTCACAGGTATCCCCCGTTATAACAAGAATCAATCATAGTATTGTCTCATCTCCTCTGTGGACAGTCCGTCTTCACGTGGCCCGCTTGACTACACCGAAAACAAACTTCGAAACTAGGTCGATCAAGAGGACACTCCGCCTTGCGGTGTCCTGGCTGTCTACAATGGTAACACACCATACTCGCCCTAGAGGACCTTAAAGAAGCACCAACAATAGGAGTAGCACCTGCCATTCATTGGTCCTGAGAAAACAATGAAGCATCTCTGTGCCTCTTCCTGTCCTAGCTTCCGGAAGAAGTACCCATACTCAAACCTCGTTCCTGAGAACTCACAATACCACTCTTTACTTGCCAATCCTTGGCTTCTGCCTTTGTCATCAGTGCTCTTGTAACCACTTCTGAATAATTCCTTAATCCCAAAAGTGTCACCCTCGGTCTAATAGAATGATTTAGACTGTACACAAAACGCTATGTCTTCTCCTCCTCGTTCCCTAACAAATCCATAACGAAACGCGAAAGAAAAGTGAACTTATTCTCGTACTCTGTCATTGACGTATCACCTTGCTTGAGACCATCAAATTGCATCCTCAATTCTTGAATCTTAGTCTGCGGGAAATACTTATCAAAGAAAAGATTCTTGAATACATCCTAACTCATAACGTCAATATCATGTGCGCTAGTCATGGTCTTCCACCATATTGTCGCGTCTCTAACAAACATATACATGGCTAAGGTGATCTTCAACCAATCATCGGGTATGACTATTGCCCTGAAATGCTTTTCAACTTCATCAAGTTAGTTGTCTACAACTAACAGGTTTGGACCTTCCTCAAATGTCACTTTCATAAGTTTGTCAAACTGAATCAGGTACCTAAGATTCCGGTCCATCTCCGTCTCCTGTGGCTGAATAACCGGGTGTGGTAACACTTTAGGAGTTGTGGTAGTCGCTAGATTCTAAAAGGCTAAGACTACAGCCCTTACAAATAAGACATTGTCCACTGGTACTTATGGATTATTATCTACCTCTCTATCTCGACCCTGTCCTATTGAAACCCTATCTGGTTGGGACAGCCCTTCACCTGTTCGCTGTCCGACTTCATTCGGATCCATCTTTCTACGTCGTCCTCAAGCGCGGTTCTACAAAAGCAACTATACGATCAAAATAAGGATACACGAAGTAGCTCAATCTATGAGCCACGGTGCTCACATTATCCGTTCGGTAAGAACAAAACATTCAGAAACATAGAAGTAATTAAGCCCCTCACATACGTAGATTAAACCTTTCGTAACTCAACACACAACACTGCCCCAAAACCTCGAACTTGTCAACAATGATACAAACTAATCACGCAAACATCCACTCCCTAGTGAATGAACAACCACACCATAAACCTAAATGTGTAACTACGTCCCAAAATAGGATCATAACTATCGTGCTCAATTTCATGCAATAAGAACTCGTATAACATGTTTTTAATAATAATAACACTTAACAATTAAATATGTAGTTAATCACGCATTTTCTCATTAACAATTAACCACTCAGGAAATCAAGTATACTTTAAATAATTTAATCATTTCATTAATCATACAAACAAATTTCACGTAAGCATTTAGCAAACACGCATGCTTCCACATTAATCAAACAATAGCTTAATAACAATAAACACCTTATCATTTAGCATGCTAAAATTTAATTATCACTTCAATATTCGCATAACAACAAATCATGCTTTTTAACTAAAGAAGAACTAATCACACAAGTATGCAACACTGTCAACCCCAATTTTAACTCCTCTTGGTCAACTTTACCCGCCGTCCTAAGGTTTTCGAACCTAAAACTCTAATACCAAATTTG